TCCGTGGCACATAACAAGAACTGACTCCACGGCACATAACAACAACAACAACTGTAGGGATTTGGGTTCATTATTTTTCTATTTGTACATCAATTTTCTCATTGTTAACACAGGTAGCTGTATAGATAGTTCAATATGCACACTGTAGTTTTATCATACTGTGTACAATGGAATCCTGGTGTAGTGATACAGGATAAGCATTAGACTGCTAACTACAGGGTTGACAGTTCAAACCCACCAGATGCTAGTCAGAAACCCTATACAGGGTCACTATAAGCTGGAACCAACTCAATGTCACTTAACATAATCAACAACAACATTGTGTATAATGGTGGTGGTTATGTGCCGTGGAGTCGGTTCTGACTTATAGCGACCCTGTACAAGGTTTCCGAGCCTGTAAATCTTTACGGGAGCAGAAAGCCTCATCTTTCTCCCCCAGAACAGCTGGTAGTTTCGAACTGCTGATCTTGAGGTTCGCAGCCCGATTCGTAACCACTACGCTTCCAAAGCTCCTGTGTGTATACTAGAGAAGACAAATTGTATCAAAACTCTGTAAAAATAATTATCAGAAGTAAAAACAACAACAAATTGCTAGTGTTTGGTCATTTCACTCTGAAAAGTAGTCTGAAGAGAGTGCCTAGCACCTTCAAGAAAAGTAAAGAGAGACATCCAAATTAAAATCCTCAACCAATGACTTCTGACTTACTATTCTGTGAGCATGGAAACAACATTTACATGCTATTTTTCATAATTTGTGCACGATGTCACTAAACTGTCAAGTTGGGTCCCAGGTTGGCTAAGCTCCCTTTCTAGGTAAGAAACCTCAGTTTTAGGTTCTGTGATTTCAGTCTCCAGCTTAAGACAGAGGGTGACTGACCTCCCCTTTAAACAACTGCTAGTTAGGGCTCATGCTAAGATAAGATGCTATTCATGGCTGTACTATTGTAATCGATCTTAAAGCTCTTTCTATCTCTCATAAATTTCAATGAAATGCTTATACCCTTTTTGCATTAACACTTACAATGGGAAAAGTTGGTTTCTAGGTCAGCTTTAGATTTAAGTTATTGTGGTCACAAAGCTATAAAAGGAAGGTTTTCATTGGATTCAAGTTCTTTGATTTTGATACTGCAAAAACAGTAATCAGAATGAAATGTACACCGCTTCCAATTATCCCACTAAAGGCGTGAAAAAGCCTAGTCTTTGTCCTCTCACTTTACTGGTAAGATGGTGGACAAAACCAGGTGAAGAGACTATAACAACAAACGGGGCAAGAACCCAAGTGGTAGTACTGGACAGCGACAATCGATGCGGGAACAGCACCACAATATAGCGAAGGCGGGCTGACGAATTCTGTGGGCCGGATCAAGACATTGACTCTCAGCTTGCAGTCATGCATTTTATTCTACAAGTGACATTGCTTCACTAGTAGAAACAAGATTCCGCTCCCCTACTTGAGACTTGTGATTCAGTTTCTAATTTACTCCAGGGATGATGATTTCAGACAGCAAGACACTGCCATCATACATACAAGGGTGATTCAAAACATCCAAGGAAGATCCAGCTTGTCTCTTGTCAGCACCCCAACAGTCTTGTGATTCCCTAAATTATTTTTTTCCTTCTCTTTATTAACCTCTCTGTTTCTCTGTCTCTCTCTTTCTATGTAGTCTATCTACCTACCTATCAACCTACCTACCTTACTGATTCTGTTTCTCTAGAGAACCTCAAGACAGGTGCTTACTGAGAAAGCTTTGAAACAGATCTTCATTTATAAATTAACTTTGGACACTCAGGACAAAGGGATTTGTCAGAATGTCAAAAGAAAGTGGTGGTCATAATAGATTTTGGAATCAGACAAAAGGGAGAGCCACTTGAACCACCAGAGATGGAAATGGCTGAAGTGCTGGGTTCTAAAAGAGGTGGGGTTTGACGCTAGGTGTGGTCCTGTAGGAGCCGCACTGGATTGCAGACGACAAGGTCGGCAGTTCAAACCCACCAGCTACTCCTTGGAAACCTAACAGCCACAGGAAAACATCTGTGCTATGTGGCAGTTGGTAGCTTCCAGGTTAGCTGTTAAGGTACAAGGACAGCTTGAAGTGTTTTCTAAGGACAACAATCTACCGTGCTACTGTAACAAAAACAAGACTAAATTTGCTAACTATTGCACATGAGTTCCCAATTTGCTTTTAACATGCCAGGTGAGGGGACCTATTATTGGGAAATGATGAATGGAAAGGGCTTTCATGAATCTTTAAGGAAATCTAGGGATATCTGAATGAGCCCGGATAGCACAGTAGTCAAAAGCTTGACTGCTACCCAAATGGTTGGTAATTCGAACCCACCAGCAACTCCAAGCAAGACAGATGTGGCCATCAGCTTTCATAAGGATTTGTAGCCTTGGAAACTACATGATTCAGTTCTACTCTGGGTTATAGGTTAGCTATGAGTTCGAGTCCACTCGATGACACTGGGTGTGGTTTATTTAGGTATGTTTGAAGAAGCTCTGGTGGCAAAGTGGCTAAGCACTCTGGCTGCTAACAGAAGAATCAGGTTCAAACCCACCAGCAGCTCCTTGGGAGAAAAGACCTAGCAATCTGCTTCTACAAAGGTTACAGCCTAGAAAACCACATGAGGCCGGTCTACACTGCCTGATGGCGTCTCTATGAGTTGGAGTTGATGCAACAGAACACAACAACAAAGGTGTGTATGTGGTGTAATCCTCACCTTTAGGAAAAAGATTGGTGGTTCAAACCCACCAGCCATTCCTCAGAAACCCTATACAGAGTTGCTTTGAGACAGAACCAACTCCATGGCAATTAACAACAACATTCCCTTCTGGAAAACATTCCTTAGTGCAATGTGTGAGAGCAATTACCAAGCAGTCCACAAATAAGATGCACCAGACATTTTCACTGTGCTGAATTTACATTATCACGTCATCAACTTCGAATCCTTAGTAAGTATCCAGATTTATCTAAAACAAACAAACAAACAAACAAACATCCCACCCTTAAAGAAAAAGTAACCAGTTATTTATGGGGATCTTCTGACAACCACTGGTACATTCATAAACATTAACATCCACCAGCAAAATGGTCAACCACTATTTACTATGAAGAGAGAAACACCAAATACATTACGACGTCTTCCATCTAGCACAGATGCGAAGAGGCCAGGAGGTAGGTTCTTGTGCTGTCCATTGTCAAGGGTCTGTTGTGTTTGTACATGTTGTGTGTGTATGTGGAAGAGAGTGAAATTTTAACTAACAAGTTTTACAGATGGCTTACAAGCGAGCGAAAATTGCATTTCCATGCATATACTGAAAGCCATGAAGATAAAGGGTAATATCTGTACTTCCTTACCTTCTATTGCAGAAAGGAGAACCCGGGAGTGATCATACGCGATTACATTTGCATATCTGTTCTTTGGTTTGTTTACTTCCAAGTTTGAGTGCTCCCATGTGAACTGTTGGCCAGGGTCAATTGACTTTAAAAGAAAAACAGCACAAACACACACACAATCAATACTCAGTAACAACAGGTCATATCGGCATTTATCCCAAGTCCCAAACATGATTTATAAAGGGAATTCTGATGCCGTATTTTATCATAATGATCCTCGCTGTGAAGCTGAACATTCATATATCTAGCATCTAGCATCGCAGGAGATGATTAATCACAGTACGAAACAGTGATAGTCACCAATGTCAATTCAGATGGAAACAAAAAAGAAATCAATACAGATGCTTTACTAATATTGGAAGGGTAGGTTTTTCTTTTTTTCTTTTCCATTTTCCTCTCTGCTGTTGCAGTTTCCAAGTTCTGTTAGCTCATGTTCCCTCCAATTCTGTGAATACGGTTACTCTTGATTCCTTTTTCCTAGTCTTTGCTACCTAGACCAGACTCAAGCCTTTGATGTCAGTTGGGCTTTGTTTAGCTTCCCTGGGCAAGAGTTTTACTTTTCTCTCTTCACCTACATGGTCACATATTAAGGTTCCAGATGGTTTTCCATAAAACACTATGGCAGATATCACAAGTCAACTTGAATGATTCAATCAGTTACAAGTAACAGAAAAGGAACAGTCAAGTCAGTTAAAACCTAATAATCATCTTCCAACAGTAATTAATCACTCAATGCCCATAGGGTCTAATTGACAACATGGCGGATCTGTAAGGTAAATACTAGACTGCTAATTACAAGGATGGTGGTTCAGTCCCACCAGCTGTTGTTTCTCAAGAGAAAGAGGACGATTTCAGCTCCCACACAAATTTACACCCTGGAAAACCCCATACAGGGTCACAATAAGTCAGACCCGATGGGATGGCACTTAATAACAACAACAGCGTCTAACTGATTTTCTGTGTATCCTATGGTTTCTATTGATCATTGCGTGTTATCATTATGCTTATGTTGTTGTGTGCTACCATGTCAACCAAGTCATAGCAACCTTGTAAGACACAGTACAATTGTCCCACAGCTTCCTGGGCGATCATCTTTATGGGGGCGGATGACTAGGTGTTTTCTCCCTCAGAGATGCCATTGGGGTCAAACTGTGGACCTTTGGGTTAGCAGCCAAGTGCTTCACCACAGCACCACCAGTGTTCCTGATTAGGCTTATAGGTTTTGTTTAATTTTATAATTTCCAATAAACTTGTTATTTTTCAGACTTTGTCAGAACCGACTCCACGGCACATAACAACAACAACAACATTGCCTCATTGGATATTTTAGGCAAAATTATTTAGCAATTAGTTTTATCAGGAGGTGAACAGTCCCTAGAGAAGGGACTGTTTGATAAAGTGGAGGATCATTAAAAAAGAGGAAGACCCCCAACGAGCTGGACTGGCATAGTGGCAGCAGCAATGGGGTCAAGGTTGGCAACAACGGTGAGTGTTGCGGAGGACCGGGCAGTGTTTCCTTCTGTTGTGCATAAGGTTGCTATGACTGGGTACTGACACTGGATGGCACCTAACAATGACACAATTTAACAAGCTAAAATCAATATTGTTGTTGTTGTTAAGTGCCGTCGAGTCGGTTCCAACCCATAGCGACCCTGTACAGGGTTTCCGAGGGTGTAAATCCTTACGGGAGTAGAAAGCCTCATCTTTCTCCTGCGGAGCAGCTGGTAGTTTCGAACCGCTGACCTTAAGGTTCGCAGCCCGATTCGTAACCACTATGCTACCAGAGCTCCTAAAATCAATATTACAGATGTAAAATTATATATCTATATATAATGTTTTATTGTGAAGTATGTGATAAGTTTACATGAGAGAACATTAGCTTTACATTCATCCTATCATATATCCTTTCATTGCCATGGTTACAATCCCCTCCATGCATCATCAACCAACCAAAGGGTATACCCTACAAGTCTGACCCCTGGTCGTCAGCACACAGCCCCTCTCCCTCTCTGGGCCTAAAGTCCCCAGCCACTCCATCTCTCCACATCATCGTCTCTGCCTCCATCTCTGGTGTCACTGCTTCTCTGGGTAGGGTCCCGCTCTCCGCTCTTCTCCCTTGATGGTCCCAGAGACCTCCGCTCCTAGACTGCAAAATCAATCACTCCCCTCCTTTTGCTACAAAATGTCTACCTTTGCATTTCCAACCCTCACAATCAGTACTGATAACAATTATTCACTATTGTATCACGAGAGACCTATCCACATCTCCTTTCATCAGCCTCACCTAGACAGATTGTATACTATTCAGTGGAGATTCCACCTTCCTCTGTGCCCTCTGGATCTAGGCTCCCTCTTGAAACCTTGTAAGCCAGTCACTTCTTGCCTTTGTAGCAGTCCCATTTTGGGTAACCAATGTCCAAGTTGCCCACCCCTGTTTACTCTGTGTATGGAGGGAGTGGGAATAATCCTTGCTGTAAAGATTTGTTCCCTCTTTAGAGCTACTGCATCCATAGGTGTAGGTCAAGTTCATCAAATTGAATCAGATTACTCTTTTTTTCCTCTTCTTTCTTCTAGTTGAGCTCTGATCATCCAGTCACTGAAGCCAGGTCAAATGGGTATTATCTGCAAGTGTGGGTGTTCTTGTGCATATGCCCTCTCTTCTTATCAGCTGGACGCTTCACTCTCCACTCTAGACCTCTGTGGCTATGTCACTGACTCTGGGCCCAAGAGTCCCCAGGTCTTGCTACACTGCTGGCCAACCAGGTCTCCACCCGGGTTCGCAAGAGTCTATTGAATGTTTTAGGGCTTAGCTCGCAGCTTCATTGCTGTTTTTCCCTCACTTCCCCTTATCGGTGATGAACATGGTCACCAATCAGAGCATGCATTCCCACTGAGTCTTAATCTTGGAAGGGGGTTTGCCCTGAGGGGTCCCGACTACTTGCCTTGATGTCTCCTGGGCAAGCAACATGCTTGTTCTTGTAGCAATCAGTCAGACTGCCCATATTGTTTTGTATTTTTCCTGTTGGTCTTTATTTCAAGAAGTATCTTCTGTTCTTCTAGTCACTCCAGGCTGCTCTGCTTGTCCTTTCAAGTGGAAATTTCCTACCTCTGAAGATTCTGGATGAGGTTCAGGATTCCACCTATGGTCTTTTGTAACATAGAGGCTCTGCAGGAAGCCTCCTTCACTGGGCATGTTGTAGCCCCATTTTAAGTAGTCCAATTAGTTATAGGTAGAAGATGGACTTACAAGCTTTCTATGGTGATATTTCTGGCTATTCCTTTCTCTCCTCCTCAAGTGTCTATTTTATAATGGTATGCCAAGGAAACCAAGATTTAATAGATAGCCAAACATCTTAACATTATTTCCTCCCTTTTGTGCATTCCAACCATGTCTCAATCCATGTATCTCAGAGCCCTGTTGTTCCAAGGTTGTGCATACATCATTATTTACCTCTGTCCCACTTAGCCCATGTAAGCCTGCCTAATTGTTTTCCTCTCTGCTTTGTTCTTCCATTCCCTTCCCCCTTCTTGTGTATTGCCCCCCCTCCCTAGCACCCAAACTATCCTGTGTCTATCCCTACCCTGTGCTCCACCTTCCTCTCCCTCCCGTCACCCTACCCCCTACCCCCGTATCCCAGTAAGCAGCAAAGAACCCCCTTCCCTTTAGTATGGGTTCTTTTTCTTAGAATAATATTCATTTTTATATTTACTTATAACCCTTAATTTGAGGACTAACTCAGACTTCGATTATAAGATTATAGAGGATGTTGCAAATATCCTGTGATATTACAGGCATCAAAACATCACCCTCCCCCCTTTTTTTTTCTCCATCATAGGATACTGATACCTTTTTAAGTTGTCATTTCATGGTATATAGAAACAACACTTTGATAATTACATGAACATGAGTTTAAACGATCCAAATGAATTTTTTGGAAATAATTAATGATGAATAAGCTTTATGTACAGGTGACATTTAAAGAAAGTAAGGGGACACACTATTATGTGAGTAGAATTTTTAGCAGTTATTTTTGGCATTGGGTATCTATGTGCATGCGTAAAATCTGCAAGTGAAGCCCCCTAACAGCTGTGACATTATCAGGAGTCCTGGTATGGCACTGTAGGAGAAGCACCGGACTGCTAACTGTAGGGCAGCATTTTAAACTCTCCAGATGCTCCTTGGGAATCCTACACAAATTGGAACAAACTCAATGGCACGTACCAACAACAATGCAATATTAAAGAGGTGCATACTTTCCGTCAGACGAGAGAACTTAGAAGGACAGTCAAACTCCCCAGGGTCAAAAGTCAAGCCTACGAAAGGTCTAGAGAATAACCTCTGAACTTACTAAAATTCTCAGCAGTACATATTGATGTCTCTGATGTAATGAAGATGACAAAAAACATTTCCCTTTATTAAACTATGTTAATCTACATAGACAATAGGCAAGCACTGAGCAGTATATAGCAAAACAACTGCCCGTGCCTAAAAGTCTGAAGAATAATATGATTAGAGGTTCTCCCCTGGAATCTCACCATCTTGCTGGTAGAATGTTCTCCTCTCCAAGTATTCCCCAAGCTAAAGGCAGTCCTAACATTCCCATGCCCAAGAGAAACGTCTTCCAGTCAACCTTGACAATGTCTACCCAGAGCAGCTTCACAATGACCAAGACTGATCCTCAAAGGTATTCCATCTGTCCCAAATCTACAGCATAATTTGTTGTTGTTGTTAAGGACCATGGAGTCAGTTCCGAATCATAGTGACAATGCACAGGGTTTCCGAGGATGCAAATCTTTACGGGAGCAGAAAGCCTCATCTTTCTCCCCCAGAACAGCTGGGAGTTTTGAACTGCTGAGCTTGAGGTTCGCAGGCTGATTCATAACCATTACGCTACCAAAAGTGCCACTCTCGAAATTCAGACCTTCAGTATGTGTTGCCTGTGGGTTCTCTCCTCTCATCTGTCCTGACTACAGCCCATGCCTCATACAGCTGCCATCATCGTCTTTTGAAAGCTGGTCACCTTCCACAAGCTCTGTGTGAGCCACAGTGAAATCTAAATTCCTTATCTAAAGCCCTATCTATAC